AAATACTAGTAATTTCATAGTGCGTGACAGTTTTGGATTCACAAAATCTATATGTGTAACATCGAGTTGTCCCCCCCCACTTATTTACTTACCCCTAGGTATTATATATAAAAAAAAATTTTTTCAAAAGAGATTTCATCACGAATTTCGTCTTGTATCACGAATTGCGTCTGTATCAATGCGTCTCACACAGAACTAATTGCATCTAAATTGCATCACACAACTTTTAAGTTTGACCACATGTATAGTTAAAGTAGAATACACATAATTGCCTTAAATTATTATTGGTATCAGCAGAATCTTTGGATGCTTTTCTTAAATAAATTTCTTATTCCTTGGAAAAATTTGAATAAAAAATTAAACAAAAAAATCTAAAATTTATAATTGGGAGTGTTGAATAAATGGCAACACGTTTGAACCCTGAAATTCTTGGTAATACCAATGTTCACTTTGTCTGGTTTTGTTACAGCATACCCCAAATAAGGTTTGGCAGAGAAGATTTCATTTGACATTGTTGGATAAAGTTGTCAACTATGTTATTTCCAGATGTCCAAGTGGTGAAAAGATTCTGTAATTGTAAACTAATACAACCTTCACAGAATCTATCAGAGTATCTTGTCAATTTACACTTGTTACATTCTTTTGGTTTGCCTTCTTTACATTTTGCATTCAGTAATTCAACCTGATAAATAAACTCTTTCTTACAATATTCTTTTTCATTTTCAGAAAGCTCTTTGTTTTTGTTGGCTAATGAAAAAAAAAATTTTTTCTACTTTCTTCCTTTCAAATTAATTATGATTTATACCCAACCAAGTCCTGATACTGTGGCTAGGTTTAATCAATTGCCTAATCTTCGGGAAGCTAATGAAGCAAGAAAGAAACAAGTTACTGAGGAGACTTTTAAGACTTTAGGTAAAAATCATGTTTAAATAGCACATCACACCCGATATCAGATGTGTACAAAAATAAAACCGATGATGTAATAATAAACTCTACTTACTAGTCAAATTTATTACTAGTACAATAAAATTCTGCTTACAATTTAATTTTTGTAGTGCAATGGCAACCACATTTTTAGGAGTAGAGAGTAGTTTTGGGATCAGTGGAGTTCGTGGTCATTTAATTAGTAAAGGTACTATTTTATTATTATTGATTAAAATCCCAAAGTCTTATAAAAGGAATTTTTTGCGCATTCTTATAACATACAGTACAAGGAGTACAAAGAGCCTTTAAAAAGTTTGTTGACTTGATTCAAGATAATGCAGAATCCAAGGTATAGTAATGTATTCCATTTTTTTCGAAACATGTATTTTGAAATAAGCCAACAGTCCGTTTCTCCTAGGTGATCAGTCAAATCGAAAATGAAGTTAATGCAGAACTATGCGAAGTACATGATGTGGATATTATAGAACTTGAATTACCAGAAATAAAGGCCAAGGGCAAAAAACGTGATAAAATTTTTGAAGCGATCCATGATATTTTTAACGTTGAAATTATTGACAATAAATTATTCATAAAAGTGGGTTTACCATTTTGTTTTATAATTATTTTACATGCATTTTCTAATTCTTTTGTTACTATTCAGTTTAATGGCGGAATAAAAACAGAAACACACAGAAAGTTGGCAAATTCACTTAACCACCAACTTCCAACTTGGTGGACTGAGATTGATGTAATATGTGTAGTTAACGGTAATCAGTATCGACCTGATGTGGGTGGTTGGAACCCTAAACCAACAATTAATCAAAGACTTACTCCTATTATTAATCCATGTCCACCACCATTGTTATGGATTGAGGTAAAGATCTTATTTCCTTATTTTCCAA